GTTGTTGGTGGAGATAAAGTAATAATCGTTTGCATATGATGACCTTGCTTAACTTTGACATTGTCACAAGCAGATGATAGAGAAAGCAAGATCTTGTAAAAATCTCATAGATGACAGGCCTTCGAATACATCCAGACAGGACCAAAATACTAAGGATCAGCACCATCATCAACAAGCATTTTACCATCGGCGAAACACCACTAGAGTTGATTCCTTCACTTACGTGCCTCAGTGGTTTCATAGACGTGGTTGAAGGAACATAAACAGGTACACATTTCAAGCACAGGAATGACAAGATGTGCGTTTACACAACTAAAAAAAAGTTTGAAATTTAAAAACTATAGGAACAAAAATCAAGACTCGGGCTTTCAATACGTGTTAAAGGTCCAGGGGTGTAAAGTTACAAAACAAATTCCTGAAAAACTACAGGCATTTATCGTCAGATACTTAAGAAAAATGCTAATAATCGTTAGAAATGAACGAGTATCGGAGCAAATAAATCAGCAGAAAATAGATACAGAAATCAAAAAGAAAAAAGTGGAAGTGGACAGGACGCGCCTTGAGAAAAACAAAAAACAAATATACCCCCCAAGCTCATTAAGATGAAGCCTACAAGGAGGGCCAAAAATTAAGCATTTGGAGGAGGGATTTAGATTCACACAGAAAGGAGATGGGATACATCAGCTGGCCAGAGCTGGAACTGTAGCTTGGGTAGAAGTACATGGAGAGCTCTTGTTAGTGGCCCCCGGCAGGGGGTGGAAAAGGTTGATGGTAATGATGAGTGCATTTTATCAATTCTATTTTCTTCAAGAGATGTCGGTGACCTAGTGAGCTCGTGAGATTACGGGTTCGGGGTTCGAGCCTCAGCTTGGCTCATTGTTGTGTCTTTGGGAAAGGCACTTTACACGAATTTTCCACTTGGCTCAGTTCTTTCGGGGATGGGCGTATAACTCGGAGGTCCCGCCTCATAAATAACCTAACAGTGTTGAAAAGGGCAATAAACCGATATCATTTCACTAATTTTCATTTTCTGCATTAAATTCATTTCCAACAAGTTCTCATGTGATGAAAAACTCGTCACATTCATAATTCAATCAATGCACATATACAAAGCTACCCAAAGATTCTTTATGTGAGATGCCATCGCGAATGACTTGAGCCTTTTTGTAATTGGAGGGATGGTATGATGTAAGATGCGTCATTTTCTGCACCCACATACATTTTGGCATAAAATAACCCTGTTATGCTAAAATGATGCTAGAAGCAGGATGGCCTAACGTATCTATTGAGACAGTGGTATTTCTTTTTCCTTGTTATGTAAAAACAGATCATCGCTTTTTTATTTTGATTTTACCATGAGATAGATATTGTACCACCAAACAAAAAAGGTAAGTAGCATTTTGGTATAGCTCTGAGTTCTTAAATCAAATGACTCATAGAATGCAATGTAAATTCGTCGACTCCCTTTTGTGTACACTGTAACTCAGTGAATTCTTTCAGATTCCAGGTGCCTTCCACTGTCGTACACAATCTGTTCAAAGACTAACATGTTGTTGACGCTTTGGTTGTTTAACAGGTATAATGTTCGCCTCATAACCTGGAGATCCAGATTACATCCCCGCCAAGTATCGTGTTTTGTTTTGTTTGTTTGTTTGTTTGTTTTTTGTTGTTGTTGTTTTAGGGGGCGGGTCTTGATCCCCAGATGTAGGTAGGTTTGAGCACCTAATCTTCTCGGATCAGGGCGTAAAATTTCGGAAGTTCAGCGCATAATTTTTTCACGACATTTAAAATTCCGTCTCGATTTAAAATAGAGGGCCGCCGCCAGGGCAGAATTTAAAACGAATCCCTACCTCAAAAAATTGAAGCCACTGTTATCAGTATAAATATTAAGAGGGCCTTCGAAAATGGCACATGGGTGCCTGTCGAGCAAGGAATGATTCTACCTTCTACACAGACAAAAGGACCATGTACGTAAAATTCAACTGCACTGTGATGAAGATCTTGTAGTCAGTTACTCTCTGGGCTCTAGCAGGAATACGAGAAGAAGAAAAGTTGACGAAAACGAATGTTGGTGTTGGGCCATAGTATAATCTGAGACAAAACAGTCAAACTGTACTAACGTATGGAAAGGTTAACACCGGGAGAAAGGTTAGGATAATCTGACACAAAGGCCGAAGGAAATCGTTGGGGAGACGTTAGATAGAGACCACCTGCCCGGAAAGTGTCAGTTTCCACTTGTGTGAGGTGTCAGGTCCTGTAAAGACTGTACCATGATAAACGCACTGCTATAGAGATCCGCAGATGGATTGACCTACAAACGAGTAACCATTTCATGGGTTGGCATGACAAACAAATTCACTCGGCAAGACTTAAGTGATGTGAATTATGTTATTCTCCGTTCATATTGTCTTATTTCTTCTTATTTTGTCAATATCATAATATCATAATTACTAGTACTGCTTATACTATGGTATCTACTCCACCTGAAGACTGATTCGACTTCATTATAGCTTTTGGCAGGTCTGTTTCATCCATTTTACCATATCTCTCTCTCTCTTTCTCTCTCTCTCTCTCTCTCTCTCTCTCTCTCTCTCTCTCTCTCTCCCTCTCTCTCCCTCTTCCTCTCTCTCTCCCTCTCTCTCTCTCTCTCTCTCTCTCTCTCTCTCTCTCTCTCTCTCTCTCGGTCCTATCTAAACAGTGTGGCAGTCTGCTACATGCACAGGACGCTTTTATTCAGGCAATAACATTCTTAACCAACTAAAAAGTCGCTTTCAAAACTGGGGAATCAAGAAAATAATAGTCTCCGAGATGTAATTCTGTTCTTTAGCTATTTTTACGACACCATCCACACAATTTAAATCTTTTAGGAGGCAAACTTCGACCCTGCTTGTCTGTCAGGGCCAACCCGAGCTGAGAGGGAAACAATAATCTGCTGAAAGACTGAGATACTCAATAAATAAAAAATCTCTGCACACGGTGTTCGTACCCGAGTCCTAATGTGTGACGGTGAATCCCACAACCACTATAATTATAACACCGCAGAGGCCGGTGCTGATCTAGGAAAACTGAGTACCATTCAGGACGTCTCAGGACTGAGAAAGTGAAGCACGCTGCCAAAAAAATGAGTTGTTTCTCGGATTCAAACCCTTGGGAAATAGGTACATCACACTTATAGCTGAAGTTTTTACAGTTTATAAGTATGAAATTAAGTAATAAAAGGCATGTTATTCATAAAGAATATGGCATCAATAAAAAATCTACAAATTTGACCCTAGTGTCAATTTTTGGCCAATATCTCCATAATGTGTGGATTGTGAGAAGTAACACATTTTGTCAGCACTCCTCTATTTATTATTCCTAGAGTTTATCGGCGTCTGCCGTGAAGCATGCAGGAAAGTCCTCGTCGCAGACAGAAGAAACGAGTTCGATTTCCAGGTGGTTAGACTTTATTTTTTATTTATTTATTTTTTTGGAATATTTTTTTATTTCATGTTATCTTATT